ATTGCAAACCTTTTGCTATTTTATATGGTATACTTAGAAAATGTGCGCAGGAATTGTAAAATTTAATTTCTTCATCCCGTTTCAGCCATTGTACAACAAGACGCACTGTCAATCTCATTCCTTTCGTTGTATAAATATGATTGAAAAGATTTTACATAAAAAATACTCATTTTGGCAGAAAAAAATTTACGGCTTTGTAAAAATACTGTCAGAAAGTATTTTCGATATAGAACAAATTGAATATTTGTTTATTATTATTGTAAACGGACATGGCATGAAGGTTCTATAAAAAGTTAAATTGATTTGTTAAACAATTCGTTCAAACACGAGTATGTATAATGAAATGAATTCCCACCGGCGTTCCTTTTTGTTCTGATATTTACATATAATATATATTCAATATAAATGGATTTCCGGCTATAATATACAAAGTTGTGGAATATTTATCGAAAAATTTTTGTAACAAAACCTTTTTTATACAGCCTCCTTTATTTTAATTTTCATGTCCATTATAATAAAGAATTATATTCGAGCCTTTTATAATGGTAATGCCAATGAAACTCGTTTTGAGAGCTAAATCGCTTCAAGAAAACTTTGACAACCATATATATATATACGTTTATATATATATATATATGTATATATATATATATATATATATATATATATATATATATATATACATATATACATATATATGTTTACTTTAATACTTTATGATAGAATGTACATAACTAGAGGTAGGAAAATATGTTATGGAACAACAATAATTTCAGAAACTAGATCAGAATCAATTTTCTGCGCTGTGCATTTGTAAAAGTATTATATATTGATATAAGATATTTGCTTAACTATCCATAAACAACAACGGCTTTCTAATTTCAAGAAGTTTCCTTATTTCTTTACTTATTAGGATGACAAGCATTAAGAATAACCTGATAGAAATTATTATCAAAATGGAGATACTCATGGAATAGAAATTGAGTGTTAAAAGAGAACTTTGGGTGTAGTGAGGTGGGAATTACTTCTTCTTCTACCTGGCAATTTCCCAGCTTTAGCCAGGGTCTGCCTCACACGGTGTGAATAGTTTTGGCTAACTGTTTTTACGACCGGCCGCCTGCCTGACACAACCCTCTTTGGGTATGCATGAATCAGTGATATCTAAATACTCTTAGAAAGTACATATAACTCGGAAAAATCACACTGGGCAAGTAGCCCAGGACAGGATCGAACCCGCGCCCTCGTGCATGAGAGGCGGGCCTTTTAACCACTAGGCCACCATTGACTCATGTGGGAATTACTATATGGCTTTTACTCTAAAAACCAAACCCAACTGTAACAGTTTCAAAACACAAAGAGATGATCCTTTTTCTAAAAAATAAAAATATTTGATAGAAATTTTAGAAAAAAATATATATTAATACGCTCAAAGTAGGGTTAAATGTTATGTCAACATAGATAACATATTAATTGTAGAAGTAATATTAATTATAGAAATAATTAATATTGCAGTGTTAAAAAAAGGTTCTGATATATTGACTTTATTCAAGTTCCATCGACAGACGGTGTGAAATTAAAAATTTATTTCATCTACCTATAAAGTCTATCATTTATTGCACTACCTCAATTTTCATTTCATTCATTTTCATTCTCCTATTGCATGTAGCATTACAACTGGCTGATGAGTGGGAGTAAAAAGAAATGCACTCTACTGAGCGGCCAAGGCCATTATTAAGACTCCAGTAATTTGTATCAACTAATTGTACAGGATGCATACTGCAAGTTTTAATCATTAATATGCATAAATATTGTACTCAATTTTAAACATGTATTTATCTTCTTAATTTTTATAGGTATTTACTATAAATAAACTATAGTACCAATTCAGATGCCATTAATTAATATTCAAAAATAATATTTTATCATCGAATAATATTCCCAAATCCATGATTATAAAATTATCTTATACCAAACTTTTTAATTTATTTAGATGAATTTAATCTTAGTTTATAGTTAGCATACTAATGCATTTATTTTATACAAGCTTGTCTATGTCTCTAAAATAAGCTATGTGTCTTACAGAGAGTTAAAATTTATGGAGTTATAAAGACAAATATATATTTTGATATAATTAGAAGTTGTAAAATGTGAAATATTTTTTTTTATTATGAGATAATGTTAACTTGCATTATGGTTCTTACCAATTAATACTCGATAAACATTTTCGGTTGTGCAAATATTGTTTATAGAACTATTTATACTTTGGTCTGATAATAATATAACAAATTAGAGAGACAAGACTTGGAAATAGCAATTTTGTTTATAATATAAGATCATTGCACTTCCATACTTGCTTCTTTTGATTAGTTTTGAACTAATCTTTTCATCTGCGATGTCATGTTCTCTTAAAAGTTTGAAGCTGACGATAAGCTCACTTCATATAACCACACACATTTATACTTATTTCAAGAAACTATATAGAACTTATATTACTACTTTAAAAGCATTCAAACGTATAAATAATACAGAAGTAACTACAGAATGGATTGGATAAATACTAAAATGTTTTTCGAAGAGAAATTTAAATACAAATTATTTGTATGTTTGTTTTTGTGTCCGTATTGTTGTATAGTTAATATTAAAACAAAATGTCTGATTTATTAAACAGTAACAAATCCAATTTCTTCAGCATCATAGATCACCAATTTTTATTAAAATTTTGTTGAAGATATCTCTAGCAGCCGGATATTTTATCAATGCTCTAATCATAAAAAAATTTTCATACATGAAACGAAACAATATCCAAAGAACCAGAAATATTTTTAAATATACGAAATCGTGTATAATCGTGTTTTTAATATTTGAACTATACACGTAATGTACACATGAACTGACATAAATCAAACAAACACTGAATTTCGTAACTGACAATGACATTACGTTCAATGCTTCGTGTAATAATAGTAAATTATGCTAAACAATGACAACCGACTGGCCTCGGCCGTTAATACAAGTAACAACAAGTAACAACTAATACCACTCACAATGCCATATTGACATTCGTTTTGTTTATGCAAAGCAATCATGAAAAATAATGAGATACAATTAGACTGTGCAGTACTGTTTCGTTCTATTAATAACTCCTAAATTAAAACTTGACTCAAAAAAACTGAATTGGAATTTATGACACTTTATTTAAACTTCTTTAACTGAATGAGATTTATTTTATAAATATTTCTTTCAAATAATATACAAAGATATTGAAAACTCCGAGTTATTATCGTCTACTACATAAAATGAAAGAGGTACATATGTGAACACTTTTATTTGATTTTCATTTATTCATATTTGTTATTGAGATGAATTCAATTGTAAAATGTAATTTACGATAACAGATTTTCTACGAAACACTTAAAGGGTATCGTTTCTAAAATCTTTATCAAAAATAATCCTCGAGGTATAATAATATACTCGTAGATAGATTTTTGAAAGCGTCATTATGTTAAATGATGAGCCGCCCCGGTATTATTTGAGCGGAAAAGATAACTGAATTTTAAATTCGTCGTCGATTCATTCGCAGTTACTTTTCGAATTTTCGAAAACATTTTCCTGAAGATGAAAAATAAAAGCGTAATTAATTTACACAGTCAACGAGCTATGAAACACGTTTTATATCTAGATGCTTAATGGCAGTCCACGTACAGGCAATCAAATTATAACATTAATTTTTCTCTTTGATAAAGTTATTTGGTCGTCCAAATTCATATAAGATGCGTAAAGGTTAATGATATTATAATTGCGAAACATTGTAACTGAGAGTGGTCATGTTTTTTTATAGGTACTCTTCTACAATATAATTGTCTTTTATGTATAATTTTCGTGTGATATAATGAACTTTTATTCCAACAAGTGTAACCAATGAGAAATATTTTAATCAATAAGCTACTAACAAATATTTTAATTTAAAATATACAGACATATTTAAAATGTTTCAGCTTGCATACTCCTTATACATGATTTTATCTAGCAACGTCTTCAACTAATTCAAAATATTTTTTAAAGTAATATAACGACACATATAGCTCCAAACACTAGTTAACTATAAATTTAATTCAATAAAGGCTCAGATTATAATTAACTAGAGTAATTTCTGTTAATTTAATGTAATACAATAACTCAGTTACTAAGTCCGTGACAACAAGTGAATATAAAGTCAAAGAAAATACTATAAACAACGCTTTGATATGAAATAATTAATAAACTACAAAATGAACTGATTCCTTTGAAAATTTGTATTATGTTTTGAAATTAACATTGCTTGTTCATTTATAAACTTCTTTTTTGAGTTTGAAGATTTGAAGCTTTTATTCTAATTATGTTTATTATTTTATAGCTTACGGTTGTATTGTTTTATATTGTTATTTATGACAATTTATTTTTCATTTTAAAATATTAAATATCTTTTAATTTCAATTAAGAAGACGAATACGGTCCCCGTCTTGATCCTTATGAACTATGGCTTATAAAGTGATTAGAAAAAGAAAAATATATAAAGTTAATTACGTAACTGAAAGTAAGCTACAGTTGTAATATTGAGTATATGAAATTTGAACATGATAACTTTTATCTTTGGATTTTAATTCTCTGAATATAAAATTTTCTTTTGTGTTCTATTTTTAGTTGCTTGGATTTATTTAAAAAACACACTTTGTTTTAAATAAAATTCGTTTCACTAAAATGGGAATGAAAATGGATGTATGGATAAAGTTACGATCAAGAGAATATAAGATTTAGAATTAGTACATATTTTTTATCTACATGATCTCTTTTTTGATGTGTTTTTTTTTATAAAATTTAATATATAAATCAATCTGAATGGTAAATATTGTATATATGTATATATTATCAGTCGTCTACGTCGAGGCGCTACGAGCCGGTAGCGGGACTGGTCACGGTGCAACCAATCTTACAGTAACGTCCTTAAACTTGTCAAGTGTGCATCACGGTAGAATGGGCAAGTGCAGTCCCCGTGACCTACATCTGACGACCCTCGCTCGGGAAGCTTCTAATTTCCACATCTGAACTACGTCACGGCGGGGGGAAGAGATCGCTAACAGGCCGAGCCAGTCCGCCGTCGAACGTCGAGTGGAAAGCACGCGTCCAATCCAACACCAACAAAGATCGCGATCATCCGCCTGAACAAAAAAAATATTAAGTGTTCAAATATTTTTTTTATTTGGAGTGCCGTGATTTTTTTTTCTGTGATACGTCAGGCGAGTGAGCACCGCGCGGCGCGTTCTGCTGACACACTGGCTCAGTCAGGCACCGGACGCCGAAAGAGCACCATCGATTTTCTCCATACGACCGTACGAGGTACGTAACATCACGTGCTAGTATTTCTATCGTGGCTATTTCCACGCGCCGCGTATTTTCGAGCTCAGCGTTCAAGGCCGGCTCTGTTTATGTTCAGGTGCCCTTTTGGTGACTGTGTTTCGATCTGATATTTTAATCGCAACATCTTTACTATCGATAGAGGAAAACTAATCGCTTTCACGGTTTTACGATCCTCAGAGCGCACTCGGAATAAGTAATGCGATAACGAAGCTGCCAAGGTTGTGGTTTACCTGTAGACGAATGCATATTCCTCTGTTATGATAAGTACATGCATAAATAATGAACACGAACTCGTTTAATATGCTAAATATTAACGTCAATGCATTCCTTGTTGCTATGAAATGCAGATGCGAGCTAATAGCCTAATATTGACCTATAGATTTTAATCAAAATAACGCGAACGCGATACGGAATTTGGCATTCGTTCAATTCATATGTATATCTTTATTATATTTACAAACACATTATTCGAGACATTTGAATGCACATGAACGATTAATATTATAAATTATATTACAATATTTAAACTAACGAAAAAGTTACCAAAACTACCTCTTTCTCATTTTTGTGTTTAATATACACAATAGGTAAACCCCAAAATAATATAGATAAAACTAAATGTGAAAGATGACATCAAAAAAATATTTAATAAAATTAATAAGTATCTAATAGTGATAACTTAAAGTATATAAATTAATAGAACATTATGTACCTCAAATATAAGTAAAAGTAATTGCATCTTTTAACATAAGAGGTTTTGTAAAACAATGATTGCTTGTATACCGGAAATTCACACGTTTTAAAGTGATAATATTATTCCCAAGTACGTTTTTTATATTTGTATTAATATATAGTTAAAATACATATATAACGAAGGTTCTATAAGATTTCTTTCTAAGATTATTTTTAGCGGAACTATAAATTTAAATGTATGTATACTTTTGTTTATTTTTTTTAATAAATGGCAAGGAGATATTTTAATAGTGGTCAAATAATATTAAAGATCAAAAAAAAATTTATTGTTCCTGGAATCGAGAAAAGTGCTGCCTTTGATATTCAATTTCACTTTACAAAATGTCACCACATTTAAGAGATAAAAATGATAAAACTTTCATTCAAGTTATTATATTTTAATTCTTTTCGTTTTTTTTATTGTTGCTTTATTTTTTTTTATTTGTTTCCTATTAGGATAAGAATTCACTATACAATCGAAAACCAATTAACAACAAACGTTTATAATCTATAGTCTAAGCACTTTTTAAATTTACGTATGAAAAATTTTTATTCTATTTTTTGTATGCAGTTTTATTTATAATTTTAAAAGACTATACCTATCATAAATTTCCGTCACACTGTTTACGTCGCTGTCAATCTGTAGATTGGTTGACATGTATCTGTCACTAAAATATAATTAATTGTTCCATTTTCAAGTCTTCATTAAAAATAATTACGGAAACGAGCCAGTGTTGCTATTATTAGTTTAAGCGTGAATAAACCATAGCATCAGTTTAGTATCAGATTACAAGAAGTAATTAAAATATTATAAAAAAATGTAGCTAACATTTTAAACAATCAATTATCGTAAGAGCTCCAAATAAAATTGCGTAGCAACATTTAATTCATCCGAATAACTACGCATGTATGTACTATGACGTATTCCGTGTAATTATACTACAAATATTTCGTGACCGTACCGTGTTACCGCCTACTGATTATTTGATAAACACGCTATACAACTATTTACTCAATGGAATGATGATCGAACAATAATAAGTGCTCGAGAGTATGTACTATCGTAACATACTTCTTTATTAACGAAGACGTTCTCTAAAGTTTATATTCATTAAAAAAAACTCACTGTAACATGTCAAACATAACATCCTTTTCACATTGAAATCTCTGTCCCCTTAATTAATATATGAGATAAAACAAGCTAAATCTTAGATTACATTAAGAAAGAAGCGGTCTTAATCTCATTGCGAAGACAACTGCATATTTCAAATTAAAATACACGTCTTACAAATTTATGATAAAATAAGTATATAACATTCACGAAATCTTGTAAAAGAAAGTCCTCTTTGTTAACCTATTTATAACTCAAGAAAGGCTGTAATGGGTGTAATGTAATGGGTTTGGCTGAAATTGGTGGAGAGATAACTTAGAACAAGGACATAGGATACTTTTCATCCGATTGAAAAAGAAAAAATATGTTGCTAAAATCCAAAATCTTCTTATCTACTATCTTTAAGGAGGAATAGAACCCCGGTCAGCTATACATTTCTAACTCTGAAACTAACGCAGACGACGGCTAGCAAAAACTAGTTATTTAATATAATAATTATGTATATTAAGTAAAAAGGAAATTTGTAACCTTTAATACATATTGTTTTTGAAACAATTGTTTACGTTTACCAATACAAATAAAATCTGTAACTCCCTTTATTTTTTATTACTATGTTCCTTCCAAAGCGAGTTTGAAGTACATACATATGTATATAAACATAAAGTATAATTATTTTCTGTATAAATAAGTTAATAAATAATAATGTCACGTACGTAAGAGTTTGCATAATCTTGGCATAATTTCTATGTAGTATTGTTATAGCATTAATTAGGTGAAGTTATTTTCGCAAATACAGCAAAGTTATACACAAAGGATATGTGTAATTATTTGTATTTGACTAGTAGCATTCTGGGAAAGATAAAGAGTATATGAAGCGAATAATGTAAATGAATCAAAATACATAATTAATATACTATTTACTTGCTATAGTACTGATTTTAAAGGACTTATAGCTCAAGCCAAGCAAATTATTACTAAGCAAATCACAGGAAATTTAAGAAGAGAAAACATTGAACAGCATTGAATTTACGGGGAACAAAAGAGTATTCATAAGCATATAAGAGGAGAAAATATAATTGCAATATAAAATACATATAGAAAATACTGCTAAATACATACGTATCTATATCTATACTTTTAGTCCAACATTGTATATGCAAATTTTAAAATATCTTTCATTCATTGCTATGCATAACATCACACATAGCATGCCATTATCTAAATTATAGATAACTAAGCTATTCAGAGCGTCACGCGGTTGCCAAAATGAATGTTGTTTCACCAATTCCACTGGCACATTTTCAAAATGAACCATCATCTTTACGCCGGCTCCAACATTATATCGGTAACTGCGCTTTTACTGACCTTGATCGAAATTAAAGCTGTTGGACTAATACATCAAAAGACTGAAACAAAACTTCAGTCCAACAAAATTCATACATTTAATTTAACAGTCATATTATTCATATTTTTTAATTATTTGTATTGTAATTATTCATATACAGACACACTAAACGTATGTCGGTTACCTAAGGCGAGAATCGGTTCTATGGCGAGCCAATCTTGTTAGCTTAAATAGGCTTATTACTTACCCATCACATAAAGCCTTTTTCAGCCACTAAGCCTCATATGAAATATCTCATCAAGTTATAATGATAAATTAACTATGCTGTTTTTATGAAATTATTTCTTATCAAGAGATGAAAAACGCGTCAAATTATAGTTGCTAATTTCAATAATTGTAAGCTATTTAACTTAAAACAGATAACACCTTTGTGAATAAATCTTTTATATCAACGTTTGATTACAAAATTTAAAAATACAAACCACACATGAAAACTAAAAGAGTGGAAAGAAACGTTTTTTTTTTTAAAGAATTAATTTAAATTGCAATAAAACTTATTAAAATATAATGCATTTATACAATGTTTACTAATGTTAAAAGGAAGATAGGTTTCTTTTTCTTCTTTATTATTCTCAAACGAAACCAGGACAAGTGGCTTGTATAGAAATAAATGTATAACGAAACACTTTTTGACTAACCTTACAATCATAATCTAATATCTAAAAAAAAGGTGAATTCAAAATGGTAATAGTTTTTTAATACGTTCATAATATTACCAAACCAGATCTAAACCAGTGATAGTTGATTGCAGTGAGTTTTAACCAGTTGGTAACAAACAAGGATATTGAATGATGAGGTTGACAACTCAGTCTCGGAACACATCCATCATATGTCACTTATATTTTGAATACTTTAAAGTTTAAATCATACAACTAAAGCATATAATTAGCATTTATTTGAAGAAACAATATGAAAATATTCATTCGTATTTCCAAAAATAATTAACAAAAGATATGTACATACATACATACTTCTGTCACGTCAAAGAGATGACATTCATCGGTTTTACTTCAAGTAGGGATAGTAAATATTTTCATTGATATCGATAAAAAATATATGATAATATTGAAGTATATAAATATTTTTATTTACAGTAATGTTTCGTAAAAATGAAAAAATATATAATTTAGAAATGCTATGATGCTAAAACCAATCTTGTTCGTTTTATTCCGTGTAACGCCGCCGGGAAATTCATCTTCTTAACGTATCTATTGATACCCTTAAGGTTGCGAAGGGATGTTTTCAATTCACATTATGATAGCCTTTGAATGGACCTTAATAATATTTATCACAACACTATCGCTACCTCACAGGTAAAACATCGTGATTGATAGTAGGTTGCGTACAATGCAAGGCAAAATTCTTGCAAAGTATTTTAAAAATTTTCTTATTTTACATACAAGATTAAATTAATAATTCTATACATGATTTTCCATAGACTGTTATTTATATTTTCTTACGTTTGTTTCGTTAAACAACACTATCCATACTTAAAAAGAAAACACCCTAAGACTCATTGTAATGATTATTATGAAATAAAATTTAAAATATAAAATAATACTAAAAATTATTCTTTATACAAAATATTAATAACACTTTTTATCTATTTGTCGTAAAATATCAGCTGCTCGTTATTGCATTAAAATTAAGAAAAGTCTGTAAAAAGGTGGTTAGTCTTATCTATCAAGATATTCGAAGTTCTATTAAAAATCGCTAATTATAATATAAAGTTACGTTTATTTTATACAAATTCATTATAACTACTTTATATTTTTTCTTAAATCTATAATATTTGCAACAAATATC